ACCTCTGACCATCCATAGAGTCCAGTGCTCACCTTGTAGCCCAACAATTATTCAAGTTAGTGCCCCAAAAATGTTGACTGGATTCCCCTCGTCATCCATATGCTCTCAGAGCGTGCGGTATGTGGACTTCCCTATCAGCTTATATGGTTTCTGAGCCCAGAACTGATTATGTCACACAGAGACCAGTCTTTCAAACAAAGGACTTCAAGAAGCCTGAACAATGATCAGTTTTGCGGCTCTTCCGTTAGTGGTTGTTCGCCGTTCGTGGATTCCTCAGATCAGGTTTGCTTAAACACAGCGGATATTCCCGGTATTTGACACTATTCCGTGGGTAACTACTGATCCGACAAAAATATGTGAAGAAATGCAATCATTAAACCAATATAAATTTGGCGAACCAGATCGATTGAAACCAAGTGTGTTAAACGAATGCGCCAGCACCATGCAGCCTATCCTGTCCAATATGTTCCCCCATTGTATTTTCAGACGTTCAATACCGGATTGATAAAGAACAGCCAGAGTTGTACCAATGTTTAAGAAACATTCCGCAAAATCTCGCCCAATAGCCTGCACCTCGACTACTGCCCTGAGGGTCATTTAACGCCAGTTGTCTTCACATCACTTTGTCAATTGTTTTAAACAGTTTGCCTGTAATTCTCTAGCTTCCTTGTTGCGTTCTACTCCGTCATCTCTAGATAATAAATTCAAAGCTGTCAAACTCTGCCTTTCAGACTATATCGATGTATGTGTTGATAGTGATCAGGTTCTTTCTATTTGCGTAAACCATGGAATTCTTCCATCTACCCTCCCAAATGACTTTTTTCTATGAAGAACAGTTTACACGCTACCGTAGGAAAGTTCCCTCATCCTTGACTTCCGATTCAGTGGTTCCACTTAGTCTCCTCGATTCTCTTCCGCATACTGAGCATCTACCTATGCCTGTTTGCATTGACTCTATGCTGATCACGTATGCCAATCAAGCCAAATTGGGTTCACCTGATCCCAACAACTTTGCCCTCCCTGCTACTCCGCTCGATGTCTCACAACTTAACAAGTGGTCTTCTGCATATAACCTTTCTATAAACTGATCTAAGTGCGTTTCTATTTTCTTTTCTCTCCGTGGAGATAAACAATATTCTGATTCTCTTGATATGTGCCAGCCACCATCCATTAACTAGGCACCCCGTAATTGGGGAACATCAGTGAAATACTTGGGTGTTATGCTTAACCGTTCCCTCATTTAGTTTGAGCACATCAACGCACTTCCAAAAGACAGAAGGCTTTCGTTTTATGCCCTACGTCTAAAGCTCTTATCCATTCACTTAAATCGAATCAAACAGTT